AGATGAGTCCACCTGGTTTTACTTTGACACCTTTGACACCTGCATTATGAATCTGATCTGTATGTCAGAAGGAGCCTATCAGCTGTAAATACTCCCAGTTAAGATAAAAGGTCTGACCAGTGTGTCCTGCTGGGGCAGTTACCAGATCCTGGGTCAGAAAGGAAATTTTCCTAAATCAAGCTGACAGTGCTTTGCCCTCTTTGATAGTTTGAGGCTACAGGGTCACTTGGGATTTTTTTCGGCCAAATGTGCTGCTGGACAGGGATCTTTGATGGTGGTGCAACTCCATCTCTCCTCTCTTCCTGTGGCACAGTCTAGTGGTAGTGGTTGGTCTTTCACTACAGATGTTGTTTGTTTTAGTGTGTTGTGGCCTGTGCAGTGTGGGGGTGTGCATAGTGGATGGTCTACAGGCTTCAAATATTTACTGCCACAGTTGCCTGTGGTTCCTAGGGGCTGAAACTGGGGACATAAGTGGTCCCTTCCTATCCTGTGTTCCAGTGTAATTCTGTTTCACATGTTTTGTTCTTCTGCTACTAATTTTTGAGTTTTTAGGATCAAGGGTTTCAGGGAGAGGGCTATAAAAGTAGGTTTTTTCTCCCCAGCTGGTGTGTAAACAAACCTCATAAACAACATGGAAAGCTGTCTGACTAGATAGAGAAAACAGTCTAAGAGCTATTGGCAAAGCCGCTGCATTCACAGAGTAATCAATCAGTCAAAAGAGATGCAGCGTGGCTTTTCCCAAGCTCTTTAAACGGTAGAAATCTCACATTTCTTATTGTTTGGATACTGTTTCTTTAAAATTCAACAAGAATGAAAGGGGGCTTTACAAAACATCAATGTGCACTGTCACTTAATCTTAGAGAAGTTTTACTCAGTGCCATTAAAAATCCAACAATCAGCAATAACGATTTTGCTCATTTTAGCTGGTGAATCACCTGTCAAAAAGTAGTGCTCTACCTTCTGTCTTCTCCCAGGTCAGATCCCTTCTGGCAAAAGCGTGAGCACGGTGGAGTGCAAAGACCTGAGATTTGGTGAGATTCACTTTGTAGCAGCATGAAGAAGTTCACAGCCTTCTGGAGGAAACATTAAATGTTCTCAGTGGCGTCTCAGGTCGAGAGCGGAGACACAACTACGTTGCTTTTCAGATCGGATCACCGCTAATCATTTGTTCTGATGAGACTCTGCTGCTTCCTTGAGTTTCACTGATTGAGCATGTTCTCAGTCATTGCTCATGCTAGTGAGGGAGTTGACTGGGAGCCAGTCTGCTCTGCTCGGAGAACATCCCCTGCCTGCAGCCTGCTTCTTCACTGCCACACTGAGCTGTCAGCGTAAAAATATTTTGTCTCATCTTCCTCGGAGTCTCCCACTCTTCCCTCCAAAGGCATTTCCATATCACTTAAGTCTTTGCCTGATGAAGTGCTTAATCACTTAAAGGAACTTCACATCCTACAGTACATGACTCTTCATGCTGCTACAATGTGAATCCCACTCCCAAAGGAGTCTTTGAAAATGTCCCTTTTCACAAAAGATATCTGTGCACCTTTCTAGCACCTGATCCTGGTCTTGTGAACAGTGAAAATCTTGTTCTGTAGTTACCTAAATGAAATAGAAGCTGTGGCTTGTATAAAGGTTTTTAGTTTATCTTGTGAATGGTCATCTTCTCAAGCACAGCTATTAACTAAAAAAAAAATAGGTGAAGTAATGTATAGAAGAAGGAAATAAAGGCATGGTACAAAAGCAGGGGAAATAAATTGGTATGAGTAAGATCACAGTGCTAATAAAAAAAAATCCAGATGTGACAGAGAAAAAAAAGATTTATCATTTCAATCCTTTCAGTTTCAATGTTCAAACATTTTTTAAAAAAATCTGGAGTTATTAGTGGTAGTAGCATCTGCAATGACCCAATAGTTTAGCAGGGAAGTCTATCCTGATGTCTGCTTTTGCTTTTCTTTTTACTCAGAGTTCCTTAAATCAGGAGTTCTTTCTTATTTAATTTGCTTGCATATGGCAAAGGCAACAGATACCAGCTCCGTTCTGCAAATACCAACCACGATGCACACACCGCAATTTGGGAACCCATGTTTTAAATCCAAATCATTTGTCTGTAATGTGAGCGCTTTCAGTCAATTCAATTTGTCAAAGTCTATCTCAGTGCCCCTGATGTGGTGGTTTGGGGCTGTCAAATATACAGTTTCGGTTAACTATCGCAGCAGGCTGTTGTTATTTATTAAACTATGCTACAATAAGTGCATGAAGCAAATCGAGCGAGAATCGCTGCCTTCGCCGCTGCAGCAAGCGTATCCCTAAAGAGAAAGGAAGGCAGGAGAAATGGCAGTCATGGTCCTGACCCTTCAGTGCAAGCCAGCAGGACACAGGGAACAACTCAAGCAGGGCTCTTCAAAAGGAGGCTGTTGATGCAGCCGCAGCATGGGAGTGAGTGCGTGGTGGGAGGAATTCTGGCCGGGGTGGACAAAGTCCCCTTGGGGACTGGTGTTCCAGCCCAGCTCCTCTGCACGTTCCAATATCTCCGGCACAATAGTACCCTCTGTGGCTCAGCCAAAACCACGCAGCAGCTCTGCAGCAGAGGTAAGAATAGAATCCAAGTTTTCAAGCTGAGGTCAGGGAGAGTCTGTCGTTTAATGTGTGTCAGACCTGTGCTTGGGCACGTGTGCTAGTGGAAAGATCACGGGCGGATTTACTCACATAAAAGCCAGCCCCTCCTTAATGATTCAAAATGCTAACATGACTTGGCTTGTACATGAGTAGGTAGAGGAGTGATTTCACAGGAAGACAATCCTTTTACGAATGTGCTTCTAATTCTGTGTTTATATTGCTTCTCCTGTACGTGTCAGCTGTGCCCTTAGGAGGCCTGCTGAAAAAGCAGTCGTACTGAAACCAGTGGGAGTACTCGCAAGGAAAAGGGGTACTCCTGTGAGTAGAGATGGCAACTCTGGGTCATTAACAGAGTTACTGGTGGGAGAACTGCTTGGGATTTTCTCCATCTCCCTTCAGGCTAAGTAAGCCTGATGTGCCTAAGTGTGTTACCAGCAGCGATGTGCAAATGGATAGGGATGATCAGTGAAATTCTAGCTGCAGAATATGAGAGGCAGATGTGTACTGCAGTTGCTTTCTCTAATACAGAATTATGGCTTTGTTTAATGAGTTATCGTTAAAGCTTCTGCTCTCCTGTTTGCAGGTGAAGAGGAGGAGGATGGAATAGAAAGGACGTGTGACACCCTGCTCATGTGCATTGTGACCGTATTAAACCAAGGCCTGAGAAATGGTGGTGGTGTGGGAGACGTGCTCAGAAAGCCTTCCAAAGATGTAAGCGTTTTGGCTGAGGAAATGCGTTACTCCCTGTGCATCTCATGAGTGCCAAAGTCAGTTTTTGGAGGTTATAGACAGTGTTTGTATGTAGTCTGCTCTGATGTCACACAGTTGATTTATCCATGTAATTTTTACATCCCAGATGGAATATTTAATGGGACGAGCTGAGCTTGGTGTGATGATGATACTTGAAGAAAGGAACTCTAGGTAGTAATTTACCCCTTCTGGAAAACTGGAGCGTATTGTAAACTTTTGAGCACTGCTAAGAAGTGTTGCTGGATTGGACCACTCTCCTTTCACACTAGGAATTATCAATGCAAACTTTTGAAAGAGGTTGATTGATGAGTATATATCAAGGCTCTCCACTGTAGTACATAAGCTGTATTTTTAGCTGAAAGCATAGCCTCTGCTCTGGAGTAGGTCCTATTGTTTACTTGTACTTTACCAGCACTGAAGTCAAAACAGAATTTCATATATTGTGATATATGTCTTCTTCCAGAAATTTCCTCCAAAATTCAATTCATTTAAGGACTACTCATAATATTTGGATGGTTTTATGCATTTTTATTTAAGTTCATAGAATCATAGAACCATAAAATGGTTTGGGTTGGAAGGGACCTTAAGGATCATCTAGTTCCAGCCTCCCTGCCATGGGCAGGGACACCTTCCACTACATCAGGTTGCTCAAAGTTCAAAAAGAACATCATAAATTAAAGGCAGTCTAGGAGCACTTTGCTTGGTAACCTGCACCATAGCACAAGGATTAAATTCACAAGTAGGATCACAGCAGGGCTTGCAAGAGTCCAGAGACAAATAACTCAGATCTGGATGGAATTGCCCCTTGTGCTGTTAGTAGGAATCTACGTCCTATCTCACAGGCTGGGAGGTTCTACAGGAACCGTAGTCCAGCTCCACAAAGTCTGTAAACACCTGCAGATTTTGAAATTACGCTTGCCACTTAGCAGTTACTTAATGCTAACTACATTAAAGTGCTTCAGGAAGTGTAGCACTGTTATCCCAATGAATGTGTGGAAAAGTGAGAAAATCAGTGACTTCCAGTTCAGTATCACGGTGAAGAAAAGGACTCGGGTTTTACGTTCCTCAGCCTTACACTGAGTGTTGTCTCCTGTTTGCCACAGAACAACTTTGCTGTTTTTAGAGATGCCAATGGGAGTCCAGTCCAGCCTTTGCAAGAAGGAAAGTAGTTATGATGTAAAAACAAGAGTGTGATGAAATAGGCAATATGAGCATTTCATGTGTGGATGCACGCACGCCGTGTATGTACGTGTGCGCGCATGTGCATGTTGTGTTCCTGAAAGACACAAGCTTGGTCTGCCCACTCTGAGCCAGCTTACAGCCGTGTGACTGCATTAGCACAGTGCTAAAACCAGTAACGTACCCTGCTTGGGCGCAGAGTGTAGTAGCCTCGTCTCAGCAGCGCACAGGCATGCTCCCCTGGCTTCCAGTTGGTCGGTGTGCAAACCTGGCAGTGGTCTGGAGTATTCCACAAAGATCTACCAGAAGCATTTCCCTGTATGCCACCAGGCAGTATTAAGAGCTATTATTGCTCTCAGTGGGTACTAGAAACTGCATCCCCCTGTTTCTGTGCTGGCAAGGTAATTATCTTCAATCGAGCACTACACTAATGCATCTACACCGCATCCAGTACACACGCTGGTTTCATCTTCGTGCTGCGTGAAACAACATGAAGGACAACAGGAGTCCCAAAGCCATAAGAGCACATGAAGCCAAATCTTCTTTGCTTAGTCACGTAGGTAGTCCCTCTCTATTTATGTGAGTAAGGCTAGCAGAATTTGGCATACGAAGAGAAAGACGTGTAGCTTTGCTTGAGCTAATGTGAAAATGTTTAATATTTCAGAGGTGTGCTATTTTTGTATCTTATTGCAACCTTATTATTGTTTCAGGAGCCTTTGTTTGCTGCGCGAGTTGTTTATGATCTTCTGTTTTACTTCATTGTCATAATTATTGTTCTAAACCTAATCTTTGGAGTCATCATTGATACATTTGCTGATCTCAGGAGTGAAAAGCAGAAAAAGGAGGAAATACTAAAGACAACCTGTTTCATCTGTGGTAGGTGTTAGTGAGCTATTGAGACATTTAATGAGTAAAGGAGTAAAATGAACTATTCCTCAATAAATAACGCATGAACCTAAGGGGTGGTTATCTTCTACAAGGAAAGTCTGTAAAAGTGTCAGAGTTTGGTTCCAAATTTATTGCCTCTCAGTAGGAAAAAGATTTCGTTTAGGAGTCAAAAGTTAGCTTTGCTAAGAGGTGGCTTCACAGTCTCTACCCAGGATCTGAGGGAGAAGAGCCATGTCTCACACTCGCATCATCACCGCTAATGGAGATGATCACCACTAATGGAGATGGTGCAGCTGCTGACTTTATTTCACAAAGCGTGATGCAGATGAAAGTACAGCTTGCTATTTCACAGCACAGTGCATTCCAGAAGGGTAACAGCGGCAAAATCTCCCTGTTTCGGAAGGTGATATGAAACAGGGAAGAAAAGAATTAAATTAAAATCATCCCCACTTAACCCATGGATAAATCGCGCTTATTTTGAGGTGCGCTCACAAAGAAGGGCAGGCTTTCGCTCCCTTAGGGGACTTTAGAAATACCTTCTTTCTTGTAGGCTGGGTGGTGTTTCCATGGTTGTACTGACAGGGATGAACGTTGTGCAGAGGACAGCGGATTTAGTGTCTGTGGAAGGCTCCACAAGAGATCCAGGGAGGAAAGCTGTAACGGAGGCAGACATTTGAATCCTGCCCTTCCTCACCGTGGTACTCTTCTTCAGAGATTTGACCGGTTACACGAAAAAAAAATAGACATTTCTTATGAATGCAGCTCTGTAAAGACTGTGTGACTACAAAGCTGCAGAGGCTCACCCTGGCTGCTAGGTTTAAGCGCACAAACAATCCCACCGCAGCTTAAGTGGGACTATTCACACGCTCGATGCTAAACGTGTGCATAAATCTTTGCAAGATCAGGACCTAGATTGCACGCTCTGTGCTTACCAGTATACATTTAGAAAGAATCAGAGCCAGCACTTGTAAAGTGCTTTATAGCCCTCAGCATAGAAGGCACTGTAAAACTGTAACGTATTTATTATATTGTTATTGTTATTAAGAGGAAATATCAC